GCCCGAACTCTGGCGGCCGGCAGTCTCGACCTTGGCCGGGGGATGGTTCGATGGCTAAGCCACGCCGGGAGAGGGGGTGAGAGATCTTCATCTCAATCGCCCACAAGCCTTAGAGAAGATTGTTCTTGGATTATTAAGTTTACTTCAATAATTTAGCATTGGTGCGTAAGTCATGGCACGAGTTGTATTTAATTGGAGATTATTAATTCATAGCAGACATAATTTTTTATTAGACTCTTTTCTGTTCGTTACTTATTCCCTGAAGAAGTGATTCATGCTCAACAAGTAGAGCCTTCGATCGTAATTTAGCTCATCCAATATAAAGCGGTTTAAAGTGGTCTGAAGGCTATCTCTGTCTAATAAGGCATAGACGAATATTCTCGAACACTTGTGCCACGCCTTCGCAACAAAGTCTCAATTTCAGCAATGGGTAGATTCATTATAACATCATTACAACGCCACAAATATAGAAGTTGGAAAATTCAATAAATTTGTTAATGATTCAAGTTAAAATAATGCATAATACTGAAGAAGAATAAAGTACTACAACAAATCACAGGATAAAGTGAAAGATTTGACATCCAAGCTAAGCTGGACAGATTCAAGATTAAATACTCGCTAAGTAAAGAAATAACCGAGTCAAGTACTTAGGTCGGGTAAGAAGAGTAAAAACGAACCCCAAAAATGGAAACAGAAACAGAAGGGGCCGAGAAAAAAGCAGACGGGACACCCAAGTTGGATAATTGAAAGTGTAGACACGATAAAGAAGTTATTAGGAAACAAAGTCGAGCACATGACTTGGAAAAATGAGAGGGATTGATGCTTAAGGACTTGAATCGATCACACTGAGGCAACAGAAACTGTAAAAATAATAACTTGCACCTGTAACATTAAAGACGGGACATGCCACAAAAGTTCTACAAGCCTATGTGCAAAAGCTTCTTAGAGTCATGTGTAACATTTAATGCACGTAATTATATTTAATGCCAAATTTTACTGCCCGATGAACAGTAATCGGGCCACCCTTACTATACATAGTCCTAAGAATCCATTATAAAAGAGGTGAGAAAGATTCTCTGTAAAAAAGACATATATTCCTTCATTAAATACAACCTTAAAGGAGAATATCCAACCTCAATTGCGAAATTATCCGACTTCATCATTACTTGATTTTACGCAAATTCATCGTATTATGCCAAATTTAAATTGTTAAATCATCATGTTACCAGCACTAATTCAATGCTTCTAATTGATGAAATCCCAGTATCAATAGTTTGGCACTAAAAGGAGGTACCGAACCTCTGACCTTGTGGTTAACAGTCACAAACAATTTTGAGGTTTACTTTTCGACTTAAAAAAAAAAATACTTCTTCTACCAACAACAACAAAGCTTCTAAAACAACCGACGGTGATGTCATCATCTAACCAAGAAATGGTGTCTCGACCGAAAATGACTGAGCAGCAATATACAAAGTCCCCCGCAGTGGACTTCACGTCGATGTTCCAAAACCCATAGTTTGTAAAGGTTATGGCGAGCCTACTGATGCAAGTCATGTTGTCGGCATCTCACGCGCCGTCCTCGGTGTTCGACATGCTCACAACATAGTTAAAAAAAGACATGAATGCCACCACCGGAGATAGGGGTAAAGGACGTCCAGTTTAAGGCCATCACCCAATCTCCAGACGATGTGGGCAAACATTCGAAAGGAGAAAACCATAAACCAGACTCGGATGGAAAATATATGAGAGAGATGCTCAGTGATAAAGCACAAGGAGATATCCACCAACCCGTTGGTCTTTACCTGACTTGGGAAGAGGAGCCCGAGTAGGACCCTCTGACAAAAAAATCCTAAGAGATCGGTTAGCCAAAAGCAACTATGACAAGGTCGCGATCCTCATGAAGAAAATTGTCAAGCTCAAAGCACGACAAAAATATGAGGGAAGGGCACCTTCGCCATCCTGGCTATTTTCGTTCAACGGTGTCATGGACACAACCTCATCGCTGTTTTCCAACATCGTGCGCAACCTATTGTCAAACAAAATCAAAATAAACTAGATTGGACTTTATGGCGACACCTCGAACCCAGACTCACATATAGGGCTATACATATCATGGATGGATTTGCATTGGGTCGGGGACACCATTAGATGAAGAATATTCTCGCTGACCCTAAGGCCCAAAGCTCATAGGTGGTACCATTCATTGTACCCCCACTCAATTTACAACTGCTGCACATTATGACAGAGGAGTTTATGCCTCGCCGACCTTCGAGGTTCCTAGAGGTAAGACCTCAAACGGGAAAGAATTCAAACAAGCCTAGGACCTAATGAAAGAATCCCAAAGATCCCAAATCTGAGCTCTCAGAAAAGAACAACAAGAAGAGCTGAGAGAAATTTATCAAGGAGTATACTCGGTTGGGGACGAAATAGTATATGAAGAAATAAAAAATAAAGGGATCTTGCCTGACCTGAAGTTGATGATAACCAATAAAAAGAGGAGATAGAGGCGGACGATTTCATCGCGACCCTTAAGTATTCTCCGAATCCATACAGGGAATTTCCATCGGTCGATGGCGGAGGTGGTGGAGGTGCGCCTGAACGACAACGAGAAAGTGGATTTGGATTTTCTGGAGGAGCTTCTGTTTCGTTATTTGGATAAGAACAACGAAAAGACTCACAGGAATTTTTGTGGATTTGGTCGTCGTCTTGCAGGAGAACGATTGGAGATCACTGGAGCGGCAGCGTCGGCCTTGGGAAGGCGTCGGAGGTGGTGGTGGGAGGCTGCTGAAAGGGGAGAAGTAGTGGGTGCATGAATTTTATTTCTTTTCTTTACTGTTTTTTTGTGGTGCTATTATTATTATTATTATTATTATTATTATTATTATTATTATTATTATTATTATTATTATTATTACTATTTTTAATATTGTTATGATGATGGAGACATCCTTTTTCTAAAGTTGTATTAAAATTATCCTATATTTTTTTTTCTAATGGCAAATAAATATATAAAAATAAAACTCAAAATGAGTACAGAGGAGATATCAACTGACACCAGGAACCCGATAATTGGACCAACCCCCTTGAAATTCTAGAGAAATCCAAGAGGTGCAATTCCAATAAGGAGCAACCGCAAACCCAAAGCAAAATCCCAAAGAGGGAAAGAAAACTCCATAAAGGAGATAAATCAGACAAGTTGGATTAACATAAC